CTAAAAAGAAACAAAATTGAGTTATTTGTAGTGACGTGGATGGCCCTAGAGTCTGTCATACAGAATGAAAAAAGTCAGGAAAAAAAAAAAAAAAAAAAAAAGAAACAGTCAGACCCTATGACCCTGTGACAGATGAAGCTCCAAAAAATTATCAGTCAATGACATGCATTTAGAAAGGGATGCTGGAAATAAAATAGATTTATCTCACTGTTTTGCGGGACAACTAAGTTGGCCATTTTTAGGCTACGTTTCTTAAGGACTTACACTAAAATATTAATGACACTCGTGAGACTCATCTTAAAATCATTTTTTGGGCACACAATATAAAGTTTCTTTCAATGCCATAAAGAGTCAAGAGAACTTCTCTAGTACATCATCAGAGCTGAGCACTATCTGGGGCCAAAGCCCTGGCGTCTCCCAGGTTAGAGGAACCTGCCCTATATTTAGGACATGATTTGAAGTCACTGAAAAATTTATGAAATGTTTCTATTGGGTAGTAGACAGATCACAACATGCCAGATTATTTTCTGTTTAATTTTTTTAAACCACAAGTCCTTTAAGTAAAGCTGGATATAAATGTTTCGGATCAAGATGATCCAAGCTGAAGAAAAACAATTTGTTTCAACCCAAGCCAAAGACCAAATATAAAAGAAAGTAAGCAAAAACTACTTGACCATCAGGCCCATAGAATTTTTTCCATACATTTTAGTTTCACAAAATAAAATCTATTTTCTACCCAAAAGCAAGTAACCTCAAACTGTTGTACTCTGAATTCAAACTCCTCAAGTTTCACATAGAGTATTCTGTGATTCATCAGCTTTCATCCACTGGGTGCAAAATCATTATTGCCTCCACTTTGCCAGAGAAGAAACTTGTTCTAAATCCTGGGATCAATCAGTAGCGAAAACCACGCTTGGATATTAGACTTCATCTTGGCCCGTCTGCCTCTTCAAAAGAATATAGTCACAAGCAAACAATTTTTAATGTTCCAGAGTTTCTTCTCCCTAATGAAACAATCTTTGGTGGGTACATCAAGTTTTATTTTGCTGTGAATACAGTTTTCAAGTTTTGAATCTTTTAAGCATTGCCTGCTAATCATTTGACCAAACAAATCAAAGGAATCTGGAATTCTGCTGCACCTTCTGTAAGGCATTTGAAGACAGTAGGGGGGCATTTTAAATTGCTTTAGCTCACACACACCCTTATGTTTCCTATTTACTCATTTAGAATAGTATACTTTTTCTCCTTTATGAAAAATAACTTTCTATCAAGTGTCTTTAATTTTTAAGATAGTCATTGTAAGATTTTAAAATATTTTTAGAATAATCTTTTCAAAAGCCTATAGGATAGACAAGTATCCTATAGGATGGCTATAGGATACTTAGATGTCACAATAGGATGGCTTAGAATAGACTACTTTTTCTATATCTACTCAATCTGCATACAAAGATTATAGGCAGCATCTCAGATATCACATTGCTTCAGTCATTATAAGACATTTCCATGAGCATATGCCAGGTTCCCCAGACAACCCAGGACCTCAAGAGCCGTGGATTTGAAAGATGCTATGACTTAAAATTGCTACACAAGAAAAGTTGTCTAATATTTTTCCATCTGATTTTTAAATAAAGATATCTCAGCCTTTAAAAAAGTAAAATCCAGATTAAACTGGTTTAGAAAATAAATCTTATGGAGGAATAACAAGCATCTCTGCAAAACCCTAGCATATCACACATTAAGGTTCAATGTACAACCAGCACTTATGACTTTGAGCCCTAATGCTGAAAACTCACACAGTTGCCCAGAGCACCCCTATTTGTGCTAGATACAATACTGGAGTTGCTTTCCAAACATTTTTTCCCTTAGTGTTTGTTCGTTCATTCAACAAAGACTTGTCAACTGCTTATCAGTGCAAAGTAATCTAATCTCAGTACTGTGTTCATGATTAAACACATGGGCTGCGGAATAAGGCTGTGCAGGTTTGAAGGCTAGCTCTGTGTTACCCTAGCAAGTGACTTAACTACTCCAACTCTTAGTAGTTGCTCATCTCTAAAGGGAGAAAGATAATAGTCCCTACTGTGTCAGGATGTCAAGAATGTTAAGAAGAAGAACAGGGTTGAAGACTGAAAAAACACCTCAGAAATATTATTTATTATTAGCAGATTATGGTGTTGATCAACTCCTTTTAGGGTTACTACTGCTGGAATAAAGCATTCAGGAAGAAAAATAGCTTTTTTTTTTTTTTAGGATCCTTAAAAGTTATACATGGACATAAGAACATAGCGTATAAAATATCTTAGCTCTAAAAACAGATCTTTGAAAAACAACAGGGAAGAGAAAGATGAGCAAAGGAATCAAGGGCCTATTTCTTTTTCATCTTCCTGAGTTCATTATGGTCCTGCTTCCTTTCTGTTCCATTGTAGGAGAAAAATAAGGATATTTATCACCAGTCCTATTTAATCCCTGTAGCCTTTTGTTTCTCATATAGATTCAAAAAAATCACAGGGAAAAGACATCCTGACACAATGTGATAAGTTGCCCAAAGTACCACTTGTGGGCACAGAAGAGAATCACAAAAGGTCTGAATTGTAATAACTTCCACAGTCATTGCCTTTTTTGTGATCATTTCCCAGGTGATTACTTCAGGTGGGATAATGTTTTGTGACCAGCCATGGCATAAAGAGTGTTTTCTGTGCAGTGGCTGTAGGAAAGAGCTCTGTGAAGAAGAGTTTATGTCCAGAGATGATTATCCATTCTGCTTGGACTGCTACAACCATCTTTATGCCAAAAAGTGTGCCACCTGCACCAAGCCTATTATTGGTGAGTTATTCAGTTTAATATGGTCCTACCATGAGACAGTTATGGCTCTGTAAATGCTATGTAGTTAATTCAGGAAATGCAATTTAAAAAAGAATGATCTTTCCTTTATGTTTCCTTTTGAAATAAACATGGGTACCTATATATATATATAAATATTACACAGAACCCTCAAGGCAAGTATAGAGTGTAATTAAGGTAGCTATGCTCGTAGAGGGTAATTAATACGAAACCTCATGGTACTGACTCTACATAAAGTAATAATTCAGGGAAGGAGGAGGATAAGATGAGCAGAGAAGACCTTCACAAGGAGGCCTGATCTGAGGCAGAACTTTAAGGAGTTGAGTGGGGGAAGGGATACTTATAAAACAAAATGCTGCTGAATTCCAAACAAAGGTAACAGGGCCTTAAAACAGAAACAGTTTCAATTAAATGCAAGTACTGTGCAAAAATCTGAAGCTATAATAATTAGGATAGCATAGGTCAGGAATTAATTAAACCTCAATTTAAGATGCTTCTAACAAATGTATTATTCTCTTGGCTTTCTATTCACTTACAATAAGTTTTTGTTTTTTTGTTTGTTTTGTTTTTGTGGCACACGGGCCTCTCACTGTTGTGGCCTCTCCCATTGCGGAGCACAGGCTCCAGACGCACAGGCTCAGCAGCCATGGCTCACGGGCCCAGCCGCTAGGCGGCATGTGGGATCCTCCCGGACCAGGGCACGAACCCGTGTCCGCTGCATCGGCAGGCGGACTCTTAACCACTGCGCCACCAGAGAAGCCCTACAATAAGTTTTAATTGTGAATAGATGAGATAAAAAAAACAAGATAGCATTCTGTTGAAGAAACAAAATATACATGACATGATTTGAAAATAACATAAATGGTAAATCGATCTGTGTTAAATGGATTTTCAAGGTAAAAAGAGCATTATATTTTCCTTAGAGACACTTCTAAAATGCTAATCCTGTAGTAAAGGAACTGAAGATCTCATCACACCTGAGAAATCCAACAGCTATTCTTTTAGGCAATGTATGGTCACCGAATAACGTGGCAGAACTATACTTCTGTTCTCCATTCCTAGTACTCTTAGGTCATATTTCACTTTTAGCTCAGTCTACATAACACAGAATTAAAGATTACTTTATCCTTTTCCTCCTCCTCTATCTTCAAATATATCACAAAGTAAAAGTGAATATTTATTCATCTTCAAATAAAGAGTTTTGCTGCAAACCCAGCTTGATAGGCTTTCACTTACTTGCAAGGGAGGGAGTTTCCTGGATGAACAGAACATAGTTCTGTCTGGAACAAGGAAGGCACCATGTTTTTCAGAATCCCACACTGGCCTATGGGCTATATCTGGCCAGCAAGCATGGTTTGTTTGGCCTGCACTTGTTTGTAAACAACTAATGTAAAATCCATCTCTGTAGCCTAAAAGTAAACAAAGAGCCTGCCCAGGGTGAGCGGACTACCCTCACATTCCCGGCCGGGTCATGGTCATATGGAGCTGAGTGGCTGGCCCATTATGTAGGGCATGGCCCCTTTGCTGCTTCCACCTTGTCTCTATCACTCAGCTATGTCACCTCTCCAGCCCTTTCAAGGGCTTATGTTGGCAATCCCAGACTATAGGGCTCCAAATCTTGGGCTCTTAACCACTCTGCTCTCCTGCTTCTATACATTTGGCAACTCCTAAAGCCAAGAGAATAAGCCACCATCTCTACTGGTTTTAGTTAGAAATGGGACTTCCATAAATGCAACAGTAACTGGAACAGCAAAATCTTAGTAGAATCTGCAATCACAGCCCAATGGATTTAGTTAATTTATTCTACAACACTTTTCTTGAATTGGCCAGAAAAAAAAATTGGGGGCGGGGGGGGGGGGGTCCATGAAGAAATGAGAAAATTAAACAACTCAAAATGGTTTGAAAATTTTCTGGGGACCCAAATGGCTAATACTGATCTGAAAGTGCCTACACAAGCCCTGAACTTGATGAGTTTCATTTCTGACCCACCACAGATTCATGTGATTTTTCTGATGGGTTGTTACAGGTCAATCACTGAACACAGCTTTTTTTTTTTTTTTTTTTTTTTTTTTTAGGTCAGACAGAAAAACCACATTGTTCCACATGAAGCATAGGGATGATCAGGAACCAATGATTTGTCCCCAAAGTAATCCACATGCAGGATATGCATTTAATTTAGGACAGTCTTTTCGTCATTATCTTAACCTTCTTTTAGCTCTTTTTGATCTGATTCTTAAATGTATATAGGCCCTGTAGTAGTGCTTGTTTAAAATTGAACTATTTGAACTAATGTATCATAGGGAACTATACTACCATACATTTATCTTCTGAAAGTTGTACATTCATGCAAACAATATGTCATCCTAAGAAACTATGTTAGAATGTTTTTAAAACACTATTTTAAAGTAACTAAATCTATAAGGAACAAACTTAAGATGTAATTACAATTTTTTCTCCTCCTCTAAGATAGGATTTACCTTGCAAACTTTCTGGGATAAATGAAGCAGCTTGATCTAGTAGGAAGAGCTCTGATCTAGGGAGTAAAAGACCTTGGTCTTGCCTCTGCCCCTGACTACTGTGGGACCCGTGGGTACAAAACTCACCTCCAAGGTCCTCATTTGCCTTATTTGCAAAATGAGGAATTGAACAAGATCACATCTTTGCTTTCTTCTATTTCTGTTTATTTTTAGTAAAGTGAGTTTCAAATGTTGATTTCTTCAGAAAGGGATGCTAAGGTTCCTGGTTATGTTCTTTAAAAAAAGAAAATTCAGACAATTTGGTGAAGTTAGGAGCATAGGCTCTGAAAACAGATGGCCTAGGATTGAATCCCAGATCTGCCACTTAGCATCTGGGTGATTTGGCCAAGAGTCTGAACCTCTCTGTACGACAATTTCTGTCTGCAAAGTTGGGTTGATGGTAATATCTACCCCATGAAGGTGAGGTAAGAGCTATACGAAGGGCTTAGAATAGTGACTGGCTCATCTTCAAGTGCTCAACAAATGCTAGCTCTTATTCTACAGAATTTTCAGGAATAAATGAAGCCAAATAAAACAGGTGTCAGAGACCTGTTGTTGACTTTCTTACTGCAAATGACCCTTATGACCTGAGGGAGTAAACATATCCAAAATCAAAAAACTTTACAATCAGCTCACACGTTGAGTCAGGACTTTCTTATATTCCTGCTACCAGATGCTTCTTTTTTATTCTTCTTTGTAAAATTCTAGAAAGAATTATTTTTACATTTGCCACCTGTACAAGGCCTAATAATAAAATTAAGAAAACCTCATGTGCATCAAAATGCTGGATGTATAATAGTTTTATGAACAGAGGTGACTTATGTATATACAGAACATTATTCTTGCAGTCAGCTTATTAATGTTCTGAATATTAAGGGAATTAATTGGTACATTATTGATTTACTCTTATTAGAAAGTAGTGATGACAGCATTATAAATAAGCTATAAATTTAATCAAGAAAAGTACAAGAATTTGATGTAAATTTATCCCTGAACTAGTAAATTTATGTGAAGACATCAAAAAACGTTTCCAGGATGAAAACAAAAGTTCATTATTATCGTTGGCAAATAAAGACTCAAGCCTAGGGCATCCCAACCCCTTCCCAATCCTTAGACCTTTTCTCCTTTTCTACGACTCTTCAAAATCAGTTCCTTGAACCGTACGCTTGGATTCATATTTGGGATATAGAGATGAGTCTCACTGAAAACGCAAATTCTCACACCTTTCTTAGGAACCCTATGGCTCAAGTGAGGCCCAGGTTGAAGTGATAGAGGCTGACAAAGCACCTCTTAGAAACTCATCAATGGGTAGCATGGCCTCAGTGGCCAGAGGGATCAGATTCACAGATCTTTGCTGCAAGCCTATGTTGAGGTCACCTCTGGGCAAGGTAATAAGGTCATCACATTAGGCTATAGCTACAGGATAGATGGAATTCTCTATTTAGGGCTTTTGGGAATTGTGTCCCACACCACAATACGACCATGGGACTTTATCCTGAATAAAATGAAACATGAAAAAAGAGGGAAGAGAAGAGAACTAAAAGTCATTAAAATATCAAATACCAGGCTGGGAAGTATACATTTATTTTATCTTAATTTTGCTTCTAAGTAAACAGGGTCAGAAAGAAGGAAAAAAAATATTCATACTTAGATATGTCTGACTTCAAAACCTATACCCTCTTCTCACTGCACCACCCTGTATTTCCTTATGTCTTAGGCAATCCTTAACTGTCTCGAAAAATATATGCTTTGTATACCCAGATTCTACCTACTTATGTAGATTATGGAAAAATTTGACTGAGAATCTGGCTGGGTCTCATAGAAAGAACTTGTCCATGGGTGACTCTCCCAAATAGACACAGGTCACTGGGGGCAGCCTCCTTTCTTAGGTTACTTGCCTCTACATGGCCTTGCTCACTGCTGTATCTCCAGTTCCCAGAAGAGTCCCTGAGAGAATGCTCAATCTATTTGTTGAAAGAATAGATTACTCTTTTTCTCCAACTGCTTTACAGGTCTCAGAGACACCAAGTTTATCTGCTTTCAAGACTGCCAGTGGCACAGCGAATGCTTTAACTGTGGGAAGTGCTCAGTCACCTTGGTGGGGAAAGGCTTCCTGACTCACAACAAGGAAATCTTCTGCCACAAATGTGGCTCTGGGGTGGACACTGACATGTAGAAGGAGACAGTCCTTCCCCACCTGAAATCCACCTTTCTTTTGTTCTCACTAAATCCAGAACTCGATCGATGTTGTATTTCTGACTTAATTTTTAGAAAAAAATTATGTGGAGTTTACAGCGGAAGAGTTTTTGCACACAGTCTGATTGAACTATGTTATAAGAGCTCAAAAAAAAACAACACAGACTAACAGAAATGAATACATACTAAGTCACAAAGGCACTTTTCCTTGCAAAATACTGCACTCTGCTGTTAGAAATACAGGAAAATATTTCTTTTTTGTAATCAAGTGTATGATCTATACCTAGAAGTCATGGATGTTATTACTGAAAACTGATGTTTTTCAAACCTGCAAAGTAAAAAGGAAAATAAGAGATCAAATTGAAGGGCATACATGAGACTAATGTTTGCATTCCTAACTAGCTAGTTATATATAACATGATTGGCTGTGAATGGTAGAACAGAAATGATCAGGAGGAAGTGATTACTAATCATCACATTTAAGTATTTTGTCATTTTATCATTCTTTTAGTGTTCACAAGTACTGACTTCAGAGTTGAAAAACAAAGCTACGATTTGCCCTCATCCATCCTGCTTCCACAGCTGGTTGGTTACCATATTTAATCAATGGAATCTGAGAATTCTGGACACTATGCCTCTCATTCTCTGCACAGATATAAAAGGGTCCTTTCTCCCTAAGGATAGTCAAAGCATAGGTTTCAACACATTTTGTATTAAATGCATTTCAAAGCCCACAAAGATTTTTTTCTAAATACTTACAGATTCCACGAAAGAAAAGTCTATTCTTTCAAAAGAGCTAACCAAGATAATCAGTCCCCAAAGGCAAACCTTTAAAGTAAATAGATCATTAAATCATCACTTCTGGAAATGAGTTTTAGGGAAGGGATTGAGTGTTGGAACCTGACTTTCACCCAGATATCTAAAGGCATAATAGAATGCATAATTAGCTCTGAGCGTCATGCATTTTGCCTTCCAAAATTATAGTTAATTAATGGGAAGACATAAAAGTGGGCTTTAAAGAAACCTAGTAATAATAAGAACTGAAAAAGAATAATTCACTGCTGATAATTCAGGACCTGCAAAGCAGCACAACAGAGCGATAAGGTCTACAGATGAGCCCTCCCCACTGTTCCTCCATGCCCATGCCACTCACCTCACCCATGCCAATGGTGTTCTAGAGCTTCAGGCTCTTGCATGGCTGTGAGGGGCACTCTCAACCCTCGGTAGCCAATCTACAAATAAGCCAGTGTTTATTGGTCACAGCCTTAGTGAAAAGCCTATCACCATGTGTTTAACTTTATACCAGACATCTACCGATGATGACCCTACCTAGCAGCCCCTGGACAAAATTCTCCACATTATGTGGGATAAATGGAAATCAACCTCTGCTCTCCATGCTCAGTTACCACCCTTTGTTATAGTGTCACTTGGGTGGAGCAGAGAGAGGTCACGAGAAGAAACCCACATTGACATAACATTTTTAAAAATGTCTACTCTCAGATTACTGCATAGCATTAAAGGTTCTGATTGAAGTCTAATTACATGCTGTGGCTGATTACAATTATATCACAAGAGATTTAATTAAAATTGTTATGGAAACATTTTTTGAAATAGTTTAAAATGCAAGGACATTTGGAGATTAGCAATTTAGAGATACTAATAAAAGGTCAGGCTTCATAGGCAATTTGAAAAATATAATTGCCCTTTTTTTTTTTGGTATTAACAATGCCAAGATATTTTCTCTTATTCACATTGTTAAATGTAGGCAAAAATATCAAGATTTTTCCTGCATTGTTTGAAATTACACATGTGAAACTGAATATGCCAATTGTTCTATGATCTAGAATATAACAGTGTATCATATATTTAGAGAACCAAGCCATTTGAATCTGTGTAGATATACAACATGTAATACTGTCTCAGTTAGTCAATTATAAACAAACATACAAAATGTAATGGTTTTTCTAAACAATTGGTATTGTTTAGGCATTTTGCTGTGTGGGATAGGGGGGCGGGTGTGAGTATGCACGTGATCAGGCTTGTGTTCAATCTTTACAATTAAAAAATTCACAGAACCATTTCCAAGACAGAGATTTTGTGATCCTTTGATAAGTGTAGTTAAGTATATATACTTTCACATGACTAAGCTACCTTCTAAATAGAGAAACGTTTCTACTTTTAGAAGATATTTATTCCCTATTTAGAAGGTAGCTTAGTCATCACACATGTATTAAACATTTACTGTGCACAGTTAGAGCTCAAGCTACTGTGATTCTGGGGTGGTGGGAGGGTAGATCAGGGTATGGAAGCATGGGAGAGCCGGATGCAGAGAGCTTATGAAAAGTGCCACTACAGACATAACACACATATACACAACAACTGAGAAGGAAGACACCCTTAGACTGACACACAAAGATAAAAGTAAAAATCATACACAATATACTAGAGTTGATTTAGCTCAGTAAAGAGAAAACCTCTCTAAGTGACCTATCCAAAGATGGAATGGGCTGTCTCAGGAAGCAGCGGGCTTCCAGTGATTCAAGGCATGACATATGCACAGGTAGGGAAGCAGTTAGAAGCAAATTCTGTGTGCTAAGAGCAGCCAGATGGCTTGGAAGTAGCAGAACAACTGTGCCAAAGAGCAAGAAGAAATGGGATTGCTAAATGACAAAGGGTCAGATAAAGGGAGAATAATGAACTCTTAGGATTAAAGGTTTACACTTAATAGAACAGGCAATAGAAAGTTACTGATTGTTCTTAAATAGGGAAGAAAAAGCATTAACGCCAGTGTGTGAGGAACATTGTGCTTATGCTCCCGTGTGGCCTAGAACTGAAGAGGGCAAGGTTCCGAAGGTGAAGATCTCTGACTGAAGTAATACATTTGGTTAGTGGCTACAGAAGTGAAAAGAGAGAAAGGTAATGCAAGCCAAGAGCTAGATTTGTTGGTACAGATGAGTAGACAAGTCAATGAATCAAATATTTTGTGTTGTCATGTTGGGTTAGAGATGAAAAAGAAAAACGAAGAGAAGAATTTCTGCTTCCATGATAACAGGAAGGGTGACCAACCGTTCAGTTTTCACTTAACAAAATCATAAACGTTATTTTGGGACAATCTAGGCCCATTGGTTAAGTGAAGTGTGACAGCGCTACAATCATGGGTTCAAAACTTACTTTAAAAAAACATCGGGCTTCCCTGGTGGCGCAGTGGTTGAGACTCCGCCTGCCGATGCAGGGGACGCGGGTTCGTGCCCCGGTCTGGGAAGATCCCACATGCCGCGGAGCGGCTGGGCCCGTGAGCCATGGCCGCTGAGCCTGCGCGTCCGGAGCCTGTGCTCCACAACGGGAGAGGCCACAACAGTGAGAGGCCCGCGTACCGCAAAAAAAAAAACAACAACAAAAAAACATTAAGTTGTACTTTGGAGTGAAAGATTGGTCAACCATTGTGAAAATGCATAACACTGTCACAAATGGCCTTGGTTATATATCACTGCAAAATTTAGTACTACAAATGAAAAATCAGCCTAAAAATATGTCTATTGTTAGTAACACCATTTTTGAATTTAAGAAAAAAATACTTTTTAACCTACTTGTTGTATTGATAATAATTCATATTTTAAATAGGAAAATGATTGCTACAGTACATTTTAGATATATTTGAGCACATAAATTATTCTCAAATACATTTACAGATGTTTATTATTACAATAATACTGCTTTTATTTGTTTTACAAATTCTGGTTTTCAGAAGTTTCTTATGCTGAATAAGTTTGCATAGTACATATTTCTCAAATTGTTTTTAGATATTTATTTTTTACATTAACTGTGCAGTAAGCAAAAGAGGTATGGAATAACTTTTGTAGTGTTTCTACTTTTGTTACATAAGTGGGCATAATGACTTTTATCTTCATTTTTGTGACACCTAAATTAACCATATCTCCAAATATCATTTCGTATTAATACAAAAATAGTATAATTCAATTCTGTCTGACCCAAATAGTAATGCCTCCACATCTGTGTTCTTTCATAGTGATCAAATTTTAAAATATTCTAAACTAAGAATTATTTTAATTATTATTTGTGATTCTAAAAATGTTCTATCAGAAATATCCCATTCAATTGGATTTTCCTGTTTTGACTGAGGTAGTCTTCTGCTAATTTCTTTTATATATTGGAGGAATACTATTTATATATAAGAGGAATTGTTAAAACTCTTAGTGGTTTTAATCTTTTGTTTTATCTAAAGCAAAATCTGTGTCTGTAACAGACTTCATGAAACTTTTGCTAATCCACACTACAAGCATCAATTAGGTTCTCTCTAGAGTTACATTAGATGATTAATTCATTTAATGTCAGAATGTGTTCCACAAAGATTAAGAATATCTCTCAAACATTTCTAGAGCATTTTTAAAAATCAAACGGCTTTGAAATATAATGAAATTCTAATGGGTACTCAAAAGATAAACTTTTATGTCTTAGAATGGTGTTTTTTCAATGAAACAGAATATCACTAGAAACTATACTTGCTGGGGTATAACCTTTAGCATGAACCTCTTCCCTCAGAAGCATCAGACCTTTAAATCTTTATTATTCTAACAGAAACATTCCAAGAGTCAGCTGGGTTAACTGTAAAGAAATGTTTGGGGAACTTTGAGGTCCTCTTTCCAGGAAGAGGTAGAGACCTAGCAAGACTTTGGTAAAATGTCATAAGATAGATTTGACCTTATAACTTCTGCTCAGAAGTTACTGTGTTTAGATGTGTTATGCCAACATAACAAAAGAACACCAAGGGGCAAGGATACCAAGAGTCTTCATTTGAACCATCAAACTCAAGAGAAATTAGAAATTAGTCCATCCACTCAATCATCCATGTGGCTTCCTAGATGGTCCTAAAAATGCATTATCCAGAGAGAATTAGAGAAGTTCTTGTTCAGAATTCTGAACATTCTGAATTTCCCCAGATGACCAGCTTTTGGACCAGATACCCTGTTGAATGTGGGGTTGGAGGAGATAGTTCTCAAATTGGGAATCAAAAAGGAGGGGAAA